CATCTCTTAAATTGGTTGGGTTGAAAAATATATAAATTTAAAATTCCAGACAGTGTTGGTGGCCTGCATATATGTACTTATGTTTAAAAATTATGACGCCACTGTTATCAGGTCTGTGCCGCACACAAAGATAACATTAACTGAACGTCTAATATCGGTGTCTAAAAAAACCTAATTATCGATAGGACAATAAACAATAAACGATGGTCAACGCCTTAGTTACATCAGCAGTCGTTTCAGAATGCACATCCGGCACTCGAGGGTGATAAACTTCAAAAAACCTTTCCTGAAAAACAAATAACCGATTCTTATCAAATTTAATCGATTCATATTCTGCTATCAAAATATTCGATTAATCAGATATCGGTTAGAAAACATCGATTTTTTGTTCTTTGATATTACTACTGCTGCACACCGACAACGGTCGACGACGGTCGACGGCACCGCGGCTTTGTTGTTTGTTCGTCACAAGTTTGGTTATAAGTTATAACCTCGTGCTTTGTTGTTTACAGTAACCGTCAAGTGCCTGGTTTGCCCTTTTAATAGTTGGAAGCTTAGAGCATTCTGGATTCCCAAAGCCTTTGTTCCATCAATAGATTTTCACCAACATCTTAGTACGGCTTACAATCTTTCCACTTCCAAAATACCAGATCACGTTTACGCGAACCGTGGGCGTGCGCGAGCTGTATGCAACAGGTCCTGTTGCTGTGGTAGTACAATACCTTCTAGCCAAGTCGCAGGATTCAGACTACCTATAGCCACCATAGGTATGTGAAAATAATTTTGTAGTATTATAATTTATGGTAAGTGCCTTTTACAATAATGTAGTATGATACAAAATAAATCATTTAAGTACTTATATTAGAAACGGGCAATGTTACGTTTTTCAAAAGTTCAATGCATTTGTTGTAGTTATTTGTTAGAAATAAATTCATTAGGTACTGATTTATCTTGTTTTTCAAAATCGTACATCAAATGTATACTACCTACGTCATGGTATATATTACCTACGTCATGGTATATAGTTCTTGAGAAAAAGGTAACAAATTATCCAGTGTCGCGTGATGCTGAATTAAATAATTAGTAGCAATTACGGAACTTAATTATCCCTTATAGGGGAACCGGTCTCTGTAGCAATGTAACGGAGGGCATACATTGAATCCTCCCCTCGCTGAACAGAGTATAGGTAGTTAATATTGATTTATCTCCATCGAGGTATATAAACTAGATAGGAGCGCACATTGTGTATATCATCCATGTAATGAAGAAAAACAAGTTAAAGCTTTTGAACATATCCCCCGACACTACCGGCAACTAAAAGTTATAACACTATTAACCATATTGTACCGTGCAACAATATTAAGCATTATTATGCTCTGAAATTATTAAACCAGGAACGAATAAAAACAATTTAGTATGAAATATTTTTTTAATAGCAAAATTAAAAAAATACACCTTAAATATATAAAATATAAACAGTTTAGTGTACCTATGTATAAATAATACTTAACATTACTACACATACAAATATAAAATACAAATGTACCTAAATATTTATTATTTACTTTAATACTATTAATAACATATTATAATATTACATAGGTACATTTACAATTTACATATTCTAAAATACAATACAATTAAGATATAAATAAATCATACAAAGTAATAAAAAAATCATATAGTTTGGAATAATTTGTACACTCAATGAGCCGTTTTATATTTTAGACATTATTAAATAAAATTAATTTTTGTTATTTTTTTCCTTAGTTATGGTTTATTTTTAAAAACTTGTTTAGAATTCATTTCTGTGGCATAGTGGCACATTCTTATACTTACAAAACCTTGACTAAGCGCAGTGAAGAGGCTATACTCTTGGCTTAGAGAAACAATATCAACATTAATGGGGTGTGAAGTAGGGGAAAAATAGAGTCCTTTAGTTAATATATTGATTTTTGGTAACATCACAATGTTTTGTTTCACGTTGTTATGCAATTTTTTTTATTTATAACAACAACAGCTTGAATAGATTTTCCAAGCACTTAAATAATATTTGATACAGCAAATGAAACTATTTTCAATTTCCCTCGATTTACAAAAAAATGTAAAATTTGCACCTCTTACATAGCTATGATCTGTTTTATTATCTAAATCTTTTATTAAAAGATAAATACAGTAAGGACACCCAACTTTTATGCATATACTTTTGACAATATATCCAGCAATATAATTAAGTATTTCATTAGTATATCTTAATAACTCTATACTTGAAAAAAAATCTAAATAATTATCAATTTCTGTTTCATCTAAGTTGTTGTCTGATTTTATAATGAACCTTTTTCTTAGGACGGAAATCTGATGCATCACCACCAGGAGCAACAAAATTTGAAAAATTTCCACTTTTATGTTTTTATTTTTGGTTATTAATAATTGTCTTAGTGTTTTTTTAAACTGAATACAATTAGAATTATTATTAGAACCTCCTCTTAAACGATTACCACCAAAAAAAATTTCATTATGCTGAGAGCCCAAGCTGAAATTGTAGATAACTTACACATGAGTAATGTTAAATAATATCTAGATTTCCCCTTATCAAAAGGACCTCCTACAAAATACTATACTCCTAACGAGGTAAAAAACACAATTTTAAAATATTCAAACAAAAAATCTCCTGGTTTCGATTTAATAACCGCAGAAGTCGTAAAGGGTCTACCCAAAAAAGCAATCATACTATTAACTTACATTTACAACGTAATACTAAGACTTTCTTACTTCCCCTTATTATGGAAATTCTTTCACATCGTTATGTTTTCCTAACCCAATTAAACACCTGATTCTCCTGGCTCCTACCGGCCTATAAGCCTCTTACCGTTCCTTTAAAAAATGTGTGAAAGACTCATACTTCAGCTTATTTCCCCATATATTATCAGTGATAATTTATCACCAACAACGTCCTTCCTCCAGCTCAGTTTGGCTTCCGTGCCAACCATAGCACAATCCACCAAACACATTGACTAGTTGATGCTATTTCAACTACACTAAAACGTAAACAATATTGTACCTGTGCATTTCTAGACATATCCCAGGCTTTCGATTGTGTTTGACACGATTGCCTTTTATTCAAGCTTCGAAATTTTCTGCCCTCTTCACTTTTTCTTTTAATCAAATCGTTCTTAACAGATAGATATTTCAAAATTCTCCTCGGGTCTTGCACTTCCGATATGGCTTCAATCAATGCAATAGTACCCCAAGGAGCCTATTTATTGCCAATTCTATTCAATATATACTCCTCCGATCAACCCGTTACTCAAGACACCCTAGTCGCCGATTATGCCAATGATAAAGCTATAATGTCAATCCATGAAAATTCAATCACAGCTTCAGCCAATTTGCAATCCCATCTCCATAAAATCTCACAATGGTATACCAAATAGAGAATTACACTAAACCACAGTAAATCAGTCCACGCTACCTTCTCTCTCAAACATGGATTTTGTTCGTCTGTCACAGTTGACAGTATACCAATTCTTATGTCCAACTCAGTAAAATATCTTGGCATTTCTCTAGATAAAAGACTAACTTGGAGCCAATCAAATCAAAAAGATTAATTTTAAACTCTCACTCCCGATCACTTAAAAATTTAATTACAAATAATAAATGTTCAAGTACAAAAACTAAATTATTAATATACAAATCACTACTATAGCCTATATGGACATATGGATTACAGTTTTGGGGTACAGCCAAAAAAAAAACGAACATAAACCAAAATTCAAACCTATCAAAATATAACATTAAGAAAAAGCACAATTGCCCAACCCTACATATCTAATCTTACCCTTCATAACGACTTACGAATGAAAACTATAGAAAAAGAATCTGTAATTATTTATAAATGATTCTTTACAAGCCTAAACAACCACGAAAATCCACTGATACAAAGCCTAAATTCCTTAACGCTACCTGAAAACCCTCGCAGGAGGCTAGAAAGAAGATGGTGTAGAGACTTCTTAAAATAAAAAAAAAACATTAAAAAAAATAAAAATTGCTCCTTACTTACTCCTATTAATAAATTTCCTGCCTTTCTTACTCGCACCTTCCAAACTTTTCAATTTAAAGGGTTACCATAGGGCAACTTAATCAAGCTTATTCATGTTTAACTACTCTTTTCACATATACTTATTGTGATATACAGTATAGATTGTATATTATCTCATATAAATAAAAAAAAAATTATGCTGAGAAGTACCTATAGACAGTATTGAGTACAGTAGACAAAAGACATGTGGCTTAAAATATGAATTATGAGGAATTATACGCAAGTAGTAGGCATGCAGGGCCTGTGTACAACATTCCAATATTTGTTTGCCCTGCAGTATTTTGGGAATCCATTGAATTAGTCGGATCGTGTTTTGATAACAAATGCGTGCTCCAGTATAGTTTATATACCTCAATGTTTGTCTCAACATTTAAAACAGTTAAGACATTCAACTATCAATAACATTGTAATTCATAAAAAGTTAAATTTGTGTTTTAATTTTCACCTATATTGATAACAATTAATTACCTATCAAGTTATTTTTTTTAATGATTTAATTATGAAAAAAATATTTATAATAAAATTGGTTTTTTCGTTTAAATTTCAATATAATATTTCGTCAAAATTGAAACTTTAAATGTCTAAGTATTTTCAATAATTTTAGAATTGCAACTCCTACAACCAACTTAAGTATAATTTTTTTTTATATTTGTTTGAAGTTCAAATGTTGATCAAATCATTAAAATTACAAAAATTCGCAAATTATTTTGTAGTTATAAATCACTACATTTTCAATTTTTTTAGTTAAGGCTTCACAAATTAATGTTAAATTGTTTATAACTTTTTTATAGCAACCTATAAACATCATGCATACACATTATGCACACATTTTTTATAGATATTTTTTGAAATCAAATTATAAAAATATACGCTTATGGAATTATTGTGAGTAATTTGACACTGGATAATTTGTACAATAATTTATTATTAATAAGTGAATTACTACATTGTATTTGCAACACATTTTTCTATGCGCCATCTATTAGCTGCCTCCCCAGGAGCGTAGGACATAGTTTATAATACATTGTTTCTCTATATAATATATTATACTGAATGGTTTTACTAATTAATATAAAACATTTTTAGCGATCAACATTTGGGATGAACAATATGGAACGTTTAAATTCAAAGTGAGTATGTTTAAAAAATGTGTTATATCTTAAATCAGAGGTTTCAAAATGTTTCTCGGTGCAATCCATTTTGGATAATGCTTGAATTTTGATAAACCACAACATATTATGGATTATTTTTGTTTCATTGTTGATTGCTACCTTTGAGTCTGGTCCGACAGTGTGTAGGTGATTCGAATCTGGTACACTTGTAATTGTTGATCGATCAATGATTAGGAGGATGCCACACCCGCATGTGTTGCCTCCAATTTACAAATACGTAATATATCAAATTAACAATCAGCAGATCATTTTTAATTCTGTTAGTGGATCAACCTATTATGAAACTTGACGATAGGAACATTGTCTATGTTTATATGTTAGTTTTTTTACAATAGTTAAAGTTCTAAATTACGCTAAATCACATAGGCATAACTTGCCAAAAAATTGAACCATCATAAAATACATACATGATACATTGAAACATAGATAATGTTCTTACCATCAAGTTTCATTATAGGCCAAGTCACTCTAATTTTTGTACTAACAAAGCTAAACTCAATCTGCTGATCATAAATTAGCTTTGTTAAGCACTTGTAAGGTGGAGACAACACATGGGTGGGGTTAGTCTTAAACTAAATTCTAACATCAATCTCGTAGAGTATAGTTTCACAGAAAACAAGATATCATATTTTTTGTATTTATACTCTTGTTTATACATAAA